GACTCACATCCATGGTTATGATTTGCAGTACAAGAAGTGTGCTGATATGGCATGCATAGACCTCTCCACCTCTATTCTCAGATTATATTCCTACTGGATATTCTTAGGTTTCTTCCTAGGAACAAATGAAAATGTTATGGCAATTTGCTTCTTTTTTCTTATTGTAAGATAAAGTAATGGATGTTGATGAATGCAGTTGTTTTGATAAAGCTAATTATTTGATACCTTAAAATTCAGAATATTCTTTAAATTCCGATTTATATGCTTTCTACATTAAATCTATTGTCTATATTTTAAATGATATAATGCATCAAGGAAAACTCAATGGAAGCAATATCTTTTTAGTATTACTTGCCTATAATTTTTGATATAGATAACACAAGCATTATTGCTTCAAGACTGCAGTCATCTCATGAAAATGGTGGATTCCCATCTGAGACTATAGGAAATATTGAGCTGTTGAAGTGGTTAGAACTCTGAAGCCCTAATCCAACCATGTCACTATCAGACTTTACAACATCTGTTCATTAAATCTTGTGTTTACGTTAGTACATTGTTTAAAGGACCCCTTCCACAAAGGATCCATCACACAAAGGATCAGCCTGCAGTGCCAATGGCTTCTCTATGTCTGCATTCCGAGTTCCCACTGTAGTCTGAATTGACTTGCTGGTCTCTAAAGGCATATGCTCTTTACTTTGCATTTTTCAGAATGTAGAGCCCATTCTTCAAACTCTAACATATACCATTAAGACCCCCCTTTGACAGGAAATGTTTTCTCTGGGGAACAAAATTGTCAGAGTACATACAGACAGCTGAGTCACCTTGTATCAGACAACTGCAATGAACCCTAGCTTGGAAAGATGTACAGATGAACTTCACCACATTATGCACAGTGACCAAGGATTCTGGACCTTGAGTCAGATGCTCTCAGAGACCTAGAAGACAGATACAATCAGCAGGAAAGAGCTGCTCAACAGGTAAAAAATAAAACAGTTGCCTCTTCTTGAGTCACATCTGCCCCAATTCCTTCTGATGGACATACAAGAGACTTATACCCTCCTTCTCTCACGTATCTATATTCCCCATGCTCCGTCACTTCTATAACATCTTCTACTGGAGAGGGTGTGGAGTCAGGAAAATACTCCTTCACGGTTGGTAGGGGGTGCAAACTTGTACAGTGACTTTGGAAATCAGTGTGGTGGTTTCTAAGGAAATTGGGAATCAATTCACCCCAAGACCCAGTGATATGGCTCTTGGTCAGTGACTGGATGCAATGTCTTTGATGACAATTGAGGTAGTGACATCAGCAGACAGACAGTTTGGGTTATGTGTCCACTCTTGATAGGAGTCTTAGTTGAGGTTATTCTTGTAGATTGATGGCAGTTTACCTTGGATCATGTTTCCATCTGACTCTGAAATGCCACATCAGGAGGATCTTGGGAAATCCTGATGAGGAGAGGGAGGAGAGAGTGTAGGTGCCAGGCGGAGGTCAAGGACATCATAAGAAAAGTTAAAGAAATCACTAACCTGAGCTCATAGGAACTCACAAAGTATGAACCAACAACCTGGGAGCCTACATGTGACCAACCTAAGCCCTCTACATATATGTGACAGTTGTCACTTGGTCTACTTGTGGGCCTTCCAGCAATAGGAGCAGGTGCTGTCCCTAATGTCTTGTCTGGCCCTTGGGAACCTATTCCTCACACTGAATTGCCTCGTGAGTGAGCCTTAATACAAGGAGAAGTACTTAGTCATTCCACAACTCGATGTGCCACGATTTGTTGATACCCATGAGAGCCTATTCCTTTCTGAACATAAACAGAAGAGGAATGGATTGAGGGAAGTAGGAAGGGGAGTTTCAGGGAGGGAACTGGAGGAGGGGAGAAAGGGAAAACTGATGTGAAATAACTAAAAATACTAAAAAATTGCTAGGCTGGGCGTTGTTGTCACACGCCTTTAATCCCAGAGGTAGGCGGATCTCTGTGAGTTCAAGGCCAGCCTGGTCTACAGAGCGAGTTCCAGAACAGCCTCCAAAACAATACAGAGAAACCCTGTCTCGAAAAACCAAAAAAAAAAAAAAAAGAAAGAAAGAAAAATTGCTTATTTGACCTTGATTAAACTTTGGTAAATGGTATGTATTGAGAAAATTACCAATGTATTTTAGATTTTAAATTTGGAGGAATATGTGGTTTTAAAATATGTCATTATTTTCTGTATTTCTTTGATGTCTGTAGTGATGCACCCATTTTCATCTCTAATTTTATTTTGAACTTTGCTTACTGCCTTTTAATTATTTTGGCTTATTAGGCTTATAAGATTTTGTCAAGATTATTAATTTTTCTCAAAGGACCAACTCCTAATTTCATTAGTAAAGAGGTCTTTAAATTTTTTCCTAATTCATAAATTTTACTCTTGAGCTTGAATATTTCTTGCCCTATACTCCTTTTGCATGTGATATTTTCTTTTTGTTCTAAAACTTTCATGTGTGTTGTTAAGTTGATAGTATGAGATCTCTATATTTTTAATGTAGGCACTTAGTTTATGAACAATGGAGAACTACCTCATTGTGTTCCATAGGTTTGAGTATGTTGTGTGTATTCATTTTCATTCATTTCTAGGAAGTCATTCATTTCTTTCATGATTTCTTTCTTGGCCCAATTTTCACTTAGTGATGATTTTTCCAGTTTCCATGAGTCTGTACGCTTTCTCTTGTTTCTGTTGCCCTTGATATCCACCTTTAATCCGTGATGGTCCTATAGGATGCAGGCTGTTATTTCATTTTTTGGATGTGCATCTTTTGAGACTTGCTTTGTTTTTAAGGATTTGGTCAATTTCGGAGAAGGTTCCATGATGTGTAGAGAAGAAGGTATATTCTTTTGTGTTTGTGTGCAATATTCTATAAATATCTGTTTGGTTCATTTGGTTTACATTGTCCCTTAGTTCTAGCATTTCTCTGTTTAGTTTTTTTTCTGGATGACCTGTCTATTGTCTAGAGTGGGACATTGATGTCTTCCACTGTCAGTGTGTCATGATCAATGTGTGTTTTAAGCAGTAGTAGTCTCTCTATGGACTTTCCTGCCCTGGTGTTTGGTGCACAGATGCTAAAATTCAAATGTTCACTTGGAGAACTTTTCCTTTAATGATTATATTGTTTACTTCTCTGACTTTTGGGATTGGTTTTGTTTTTTGAAGTCTAATTTTTTCAGATATCAACTGGCTATACCAGCTTCCCTTTTAGGTCCATTTACTTGGAAAATATTTTCCTTCTCTTTACCCTGAAGTGATATCCATCTTTGATGTGGTTCTTGGATACAGCAGAAGGTTACGTCCTGTATATGCATCCGCTCTACTAGTTGGTTCCTTTCAGGGTGGGGATTGAGGCCATTAATGCAGAGGGTTATCAATGAACCGATCTTATTTATTTTTGTAGTTGTTATCATGTGGCACCCCCAATTTTTATTTGGAGGTCTGGGATTGTTTATGATTTGTTTTATCGTGTGTGTTTTTAACCACTTAAGATTGAAGGTTTTTTTTTCTATTACTTTCCTTAGGACAGTGTTTTAAAATAGATAATGCTTAAACTTTAAATTATAAAAATACCCTTCTTACTACATGTATTATGATTTAATATTTTCTGGGATATAGTAGTCTGAACTGGCATTTAAGGTCTCTTAGAGTTTGTGGAATATCTCTGCAGGGCTTTCTGTCTTTTATAGTCTCCACTGAGAAACCATGTGTTATTGTAATAGTCCTATCTTTGTATGTTACTTGGTATTTGCCCCTTGCAGACTTTCATATCCTTTGCTTTCTACACTTAGTTTTATGATCATTAGTTTAAGGGAGTTTGTCTTTGTGGTGCTCTGTATGTTTCTTGTGCTTTGTACATCTACAGGCACCGCCTGCTTTAGGTTAAGAAATTTTTATTTTTGATTTTTGTTGAAAATGTTTTCTGTAACTTTGATCTAGGTTTCTTCTCCTTTTTCTATTATCATTCTAACATTTGCTCTTTTCATAGTGTCCCACATTACCTGGGTTATTTGCATCTGGAGTTTTTAATTGAACATTTTCTTTTACTGGGTTATTCATTTTTTCTATATTGTTTTGGATTCCTTAAGATTCTTTCTTTCATCCCTTATAGTCTGTTGCTGAGTCTTGTCTCAGAGGTTTGTGTTTGAATGATTAAGAATTTCATTGCAAAAATTCCCTCAGCTTGGATTTTCTTTATTGTTCTAATCTACTCTTAGGCTTTCAAATAATTTATTCCTTTCACGCTGTTTCTGTCTTCATTGATTTATTCATTTTTCCTGTAAAGAATTCTCTAATACTTGTAAAATCTACTTTAAAGTCTTTATCATCAACTACGTTACATTTATCAGGGCATGCTGTAGTTTCGGGGATCCAAAGGAAGCTAGTACAAGGTTGAAATAATGACAAGGGAGAGTCCCAGCCCAGCATCATGCTTTGGAGGAGATAACTGGGCCTTGGCACTACATAAATGGACCAAGAATTGAGACTGTGAATTTGTGTCAACTAAAAATGTCAAATCCAGAAATTATCACATACTCCTTCAGGTCTGAGATTCTGAAGGATAAATAGAAGTCTATAAGCAAACCATAACCAATGGTTGGATACCATTCATCACAGTAGATCCATCCACACAACCTTATGAACACCACAATAACACTCATTCTTGAGTTCATAATGAATTTCAAGTTTGACCACAGAAAGTCTCTGAAATAAGAGAAAGAACCTAGAAGGTATATTTGAATTTAAACGATTTTATTTGTACAACCATTAAAGCCAGTAGTATGTTTCTGCAGGAATCATAAACACACATTAGTTAAAATGACAGTGGTCATAAGGTCAAATAGTTGAAAGGTCCCAAAATTCACAAAGCAATGTAGCTTTTCAGGGACATGACCATCGAGTATGCTGATCAAAGCGTGATCCTCTGGAAATGCTGACTCCTGCCAAATATTTCCTTGTGGCCATCAGGGTACTCACACAGTGGGGTAGCGGGCAAATGAAGCAATTCCACAGTGGTTGTTCTTGTCTTTGGCAATTTTCATGTAGCCACCCAGGCCCCATTTTTTACCCCAGCTGAAAGAAATCATGTTTTCCATTTAGTGGAAAAATCGTTGCATGTTGGATTTATCATATAATAAATATAATTACATGTGTATTACATACATTATGTATATTGACAAAAGACCCACCTAACAGAAGGATCAGAAAAGATAGAGGATCTAGCCCTGAGCACCAAGAAGTGCCTTGGGCACAACTGTAAGTCCACAGTAGAGAATGGGCAGAGTGATTGTCCACACGTGTATGGTTCAAAATTAAGACGTGTCACGTTTTAGAAAAGCAATGGCACCAACATGGCATTGACCCACAGGAAATCAGTGACAGAATGGAATAATAGGATCACACACCTTAAGTAGATCATTCAAGCTGACTGGAAATAAGTGTGAAGAGTCACATTAAAGAGAGATTGACATTTTATTGTGCCCATAATTCAGGTTCTCAGAGCATGATGACAGGACATATTTGGACCAAGCAGTTAGCCAGACTAGACAGTGAATTCCTAGATCAGCAAGACATACTGCTGCAGCATAGAAGTTGCATAAATTGATAAAAAGCTGATGCTGCTAGCGTCAGACCTCCACACATGTGCACTTGTATACTCATGTGCCCACAGACATACAAACCTTCATACCTGTAAACAAACATTATGCATGCACACGTGAGAACAAGAACAGACATTGCTCAACTTAAATGGAACAAAGTTAGGCTATGCATCCAACTACTGAGTGCAACACACAATTACTTTATCAATCCTTTGGAAAGCCAACCAGTGGTTTCACCACTGAACCATCTCTCAAGGCCATGGAAGTTCAAATATACATATTTTTGGCAGTTTATACCTGTTCTTTATCAGCCAGTAGTTATTACCATCCGTTTCATTTCCCTCAAAGCCATAGCCAACCACCAGAATTCCATGAGTCACATAATCACTGCTGCAATTTGGCTCATGATAAATACCTGAGAAAGAAAACAGAAGTGGATGTGAGTCTCAGAGGACACCTGACTATGACCACTGCTACCAACAGTGAGAGGTAGTTCAAAGATCTCTGGAAGTACGTAAACTACAATCAGAATAAAGATCTGGATGAATTGTTACTGAGAACACTAATGTAGAGTTCCACAGAAAAGGGAAGTGCTACAAGCTGCGAGATCAGACAGTAATTATACAGCTCTCATATCATAAGATAATTCAGAAGAATTGGAGATCCTTCTGGTGGATAAACCAGTGCAGAAGCTGTGTTTGGCATTGTAATCTGGTGAATGAATTGGTTGTGTCTTGCTGTAGAATCTTCCTGGGCCTTACACCTTTCTGTAACAAACTTGGGTTTACTTCCCACTGTTTAGCAATATCTAACCATTTCCTGGGAACAAATTTCTCCCATGCAGTTGGAGTTTTACTGGTTACACCCCCTAGCTATGTGTAAATACCTGCTCTCCATGAACAAGTCCTAGTGTGTACTGATTACATTCCTTAGCTATGTGTAAAACCTGATTCCCATTATCGGTTCTTAGTTCCAGTCTCCATTGCAATTGCAGAGGGAAGCAATTCTAATCATCATGTATGTGTTGATAAACACAACTCTACTTGCATATCAGATAGCGACTTGGAATATTGTATTTTTTTGTTATTAGAATCTCATGCCACGTTAAACTCATGAAGATAAATTACTTAACTCAAAAAGATCTGTCTTTTTTAATTTCAGATAGTTTCTATAAATACCTAAAACATCCATGGAATGGAGGAGAGATGAAAAAATTAACTAACCAATAAATGTTATTAATTGTGACATATCAACTTGTATGTGGGGGGTCACATCAGGTGAAAAGCTGCACTCATGATGATTATATATAAAGGAATAAAAATATCAGAAAACCAACTATTCACATAACATTTTATACTTAAATACAAACCCATGAACATGTTGTAGTGTAGAGATGTCATACAGTTTTCCTAATCTATAAAAAAATATATGTACCTTTATTATAGAACCTGAATGAACTGTGGGAAGCATCAATGCCAGCAGAAATGGGCCCAATACTTGCTACAGCACCCATTAGGATATCCTCGCTTTCTGGGAGGGACACAAATCCTGTGATTTCAGCAATAGAATTCTGTGGATTAGACCTGCATGGTCCTTCCTTTAAAAGAAAAAAGGTATGAGATTCAGTCACTTCCACCCAGTTCCTGTGGAATAAGTGTCACAACCCCAACATTCTGCCCTTGGCAGCTGAGCACACTCAAATCTGGGCAATTGTAAATCATCCCAGGAAGTGAAATGCTACTGGGAGATTTAGAACTGAAGATTAGTTTGCATGTCTTCAATGACAACCAGTTGGTCTTCCTATGCATAAGAAATTTTAATGGTGGAGAAATCTATTTTGTATGTACAGTAATTTGAGTATTCTTCATGTGCACAAAAGCAAAGAGAAATACACTGAAATCATTTCACCAGGAAGCTACGTGAATATAGATACTCTAAAGACAGAATCGATGGTGTACAGAGAGATTGTACCAAATAAGTTGAGCCCTGAAGACAGTGGGATTTTCATTACAATTGTCCCACACTCCAAGGTGAGCAAAAATGATAGCACAACATAGGATGTCCACTTACTCTTCCTTCATATGGGTAGGTTGCTTCCGCCTCTAGACCTCCATTGTGCAAAACATACTGGAAGGCATTGTATGTATCACCCGAAAGACAGCCATTATTTCCTTGAGATTTAGAACAGTCCACTAGGTTCTGCACACTCAGAGGGGTGAGTTTGCCTAATTTCCGGATTATCTGTGCTTCTATGGCACCGGTCACTGAAAATGCCCAACAAGAATTGCAGTTTCCCTGAATAGGGAAGAAAAGATGGTTATCCACAAACCAATAACAACCGCAGCAGTAACTCAGACAGCTTTCTACTGTATGAAAATTATTTTAAAGCAGTGGACAGATGCCTGTGAGGAGATAATCAGTCTCTTAAAGGACATGAATGCCGGCAGTTTTCTCCTGCCTCAGTCATGGCCTCATGCATGGTCATTTGAACAAGACCAGTTAGATTTATGGGTTATTAATGACAAGAGAAGGACATAAATTCTACCGAAAGAAAGGTGGTGTTTAGAAAGGAGAATGTGTGATAGGTTTCTAGGATTAATATGCACTGTCAAAACATATGAAGAATTCAAAGAAGAAAGAGTATTACTCAATGTGCACACAGAAACACCATGCCCTTTTCCTCTTCAATATGTTTTAAGAAGATGGGCACATGACATGTTTGTACCTGTTTCCTCACAGGAGTCACATAGCCTTTCTCTGTCCAGTTCACAGATTTGGGGAAAACAACGTTACCAACATCACGTTTCCAGATGCCTTTCCCCCTGTGGTGAGTTCTCATTGGGGAACCAATCATTGTGCTCTTGAATTCGTCATCAGTCTTCAAGGAAAAGTACATAAATGATTATAAAAGGAAAGGCTCCGTGCAAGGCACTCAAGAGAATGCAGTGTGAAGCAATCCGTGTCACTCACCATGTCACCAAACTCGTTTATTTCCATGGTGTAGCCATTCTTACCCAGGCCATTCTCCCCATTGTGATTTTTAATAAGTTCCATGTTTTTCCCCCACACTTCTTTCCTCATTGCTTCTTCCTCCTGGATAAGAACATAATGGGTGATTCTTTCTCTAATTAAACTCCTGCATGAACTGTGGACTTGCTGCTGCAAGGATTAGAGGCGTAGGAGAGCTACTCTAGAACATTATAATGACACCTTCTCTACATACAGAGAAAAAGGGAATCTGGCCACCCTGTTTTCACAATAGTCACAATTAATATCTCAGTAGTGTTGTGGAGTCTGTGACCTCTAATGTGCCTGGACATTAGCCACAGCAACTGCAATGCACTCTGTGGTTCTTTCGGACAGTTTTCAGGTTACCAACCAGGCTGTATGATTTTTCATATTTCATCTTCCATATTTGCCATTCAGCATCCAATCTGGGATCAAGTGTTGGAGCAGCTGAGGACACTCCCAAGCAAAACATGGCCAGGAAGAGTACAGACTTCATGGCTAAAGCACCTAGAGAGAGGAAAACTATTAATATCTGACTACACAAACATTTATAAAATGTCTTCTTACTCCTCTCTGAGAAATTGAGCTCTCCACAGTTGATAAAAGTTTTTGAACTATGCTCCCAAATACTTTCCCAAAGATTGTGAAAAATACTGAGGATGTATTTGAACTAAATCTGTCACTGATGTTTATTAGATCCAGTGGAAGAGGAAGACCACATGCCCAGAATTCTAGCAACCAACCCTTCAGTTTTACTGCATATTATTATTTAACAGAGATCTCCTCATGCAGCGAGGAACAGAATATAAAACAAACCATGGATTTAGGTTATCACTGACTCACAATTCCTACCAAGCAAAATTTCTGTTATGTGGTACTAGATTCTAGTTTCAATGTGATCCCTAAGTTCAGGCCACATGGTGTCATATGCCTTTCTTATATACAGCAAGGACATGCTTGTCTTGCATTTTCCCTACTTGAATGACAAATTTGCAAAATTTCTTCTATAAAGAATATAAGAAAAATCACAGATACTGTTCCTGCTGTCCTACACTTAGGACCATGCAACTGTACTTCCCATTCACTACCTGAATGAGAATGGTATCACATGAAAAAATCATAGGAGCCAGGCAGTGGTGGTGCATGCCTTTAATCTCAACATTTCAGAGACAGAGGCAGGTTGATATCTGTGAGTTCAAGACGAGCATTATCTACAGAGCTAGTTTCAGGTTAGGCAGGGCTACACAAATAAACTCTGTCTTGGAATAAACCAAGGAAAAAGAGACAGAGACAAAGAAGAATACGAATGAGAATGAGATGGAGGATGGAGGAGGAGGAGAAGGAGAAGAAGGAGGAGGAGGAGGAAGAGGAGGAGGAGGAGGACGAGGACAAGGAGGACAAGGAGGAGGACAACGAGGAGGAGGAGGAGGAAGAAGAGGACAAAGAGGAGGAGCAAAGAAGGAGGAGGAGGACGGAGGAAGAGGAAGAGGAGGAGAAGAAGAAGAAGAAGAAGGAGGAGGAGGAGGAGGAGAAGAAGGAGGAGGAGGAGGAGGAGAAGAAGAAGGAGGAGAAGGAGACAAAAGTGTATGCGGAGTTCAATAGGAAATCTCTTATGGCAATTCATGTTCAGGACTTTTTGGGTCTCTAAAAGAACACTCCCGTAAATCCTGAATAGAGACATGCTACCTGCTACTATGACCATGACCAAGATGATCACTAGTATTACTACTACTACTATTACTACTACTATTACTACTACTACTACTACTACTACTACTACTACTACTACTACTACTACTACTGCATCTGCACATGCATTGGAAATAGGTATTCCCAGGGTTTATGGACAAGATACAACCTCTATCTTCCAGGTTGTGACATTTGATGGTTACCTGTGTGCACTACAGCTGGTGTCACTCTCTGCTGAAACACCCCAGATTTGAATTTAATGGATACTGTACAAACCTGAAATTAGGTTACTAGAAACTGAATTCTTCTTGCCTTTCCCCCCCAATCCCTTCCACCTACTCACAACATGGATCCTGACACTCAGAATATGTTTACCTCCTTGGGGATCTGCCTGATTCTCCAAGGAGTCCCTCAAGGTCCCCACAAGAGATCGAAACATATATGATTTTCAGAATATGCTAAATAAGACCTGCGTCTGCTAACACTGTCAACATCCTTGTATTATCCCTTTTCTAACAGTAATTCTGATAAACCAGGGGAGCACAGACCATCTTTTTGTCTACCTGAGCACCATTTGCATATGGTTAGGATCCTTTCCAATCACACCACAGTGAAGTGTTCCAACTTTGTCCATCTGCAGCAAGTTCCTGTACATCTGACTAATCCCAATTCCCTCAACCCAGATGTTTCTACTTTTCCATAATATCATGCATCTATAGAGTGCTGATATTCTCCTTGGCACCAAAGTCTCCCAACATGGGTTCATGCAATGCAGAGACCTCTGCCTCAGTGCAGGAGCATGCCATGCCTGTATGTATTAACGTCTTGCTTCATAAGTCTTCCTGGTTATGACTTAGTTAGTTTCTCATAATAGTTTTCTCTTATAGAGCACTTTACTTTGATATTCCTCTTCCAGTGTTCCAGTAGGGGAACAGAGACCTTCATGAAAGTGGACATGACACTGTTTCAGAGACTTAGACTCTAACCCTGGAGAGACATGAGATTCACAGTCTGCTTGCCTTGGACCAGGCCAGGCATGAGGGTGATGGTGCTTTGGCTCAGTTTCTGCTCCCTACTTTCCCCAGGGAGGGTGAGGCCCTCCATGGGGGTGTCCATAGTCTGTCATTTCATGCAGGGCAGGGCCTAGACCCTCCCCCAGGAGTCCAGGGTGAGAGAGCATCTCTCATTGTGGGATGGGCACCCAAAGTCCATTTGTGTGCCAGGGTTAATAATGATCTACTACCCAAGGCCCCATAGATTACCTAGGCCTCCTCACTGACACCCACATTCAGGGGATCTTGATCAGTCCCATGCTGGATTCTCAGCCATCAGTCTGGGATTCAAGAGCTAACCCTTGTCAGGTCAGCTGTTTCTGGAGGTTAAACCAGCCCAGTCTTAACCCCTTTACTCATCAGTCCTCCCTCTCTGTCACTGGGTTCCTAGAGTTCAGCTCAGTGTTTAGTTGTGGGAGTCTGCCTCTGCTTCCATCAGTCATAGGATGAAGGTTCTGTTTTCCAGACTCTCTGGCCATGGGATTGTAGGCTGGCAATCCCCAGATCTATGCCTAAAATCCATATATGAGAGAGTACATGCCATGTTTGTCTTTTATTTTAGAAAAAAGCTTGCTTCACATGTCAATCCTAGCTCCCTCTACCTCCCCTCCTCCCACACCCCCCACCAACCCACCAAGCCTCCCACCCTATCCCCACTCCCTTCACCATAGGGGATATCCAGAGTCTGTCATTTAGTTTAGGGCAGGGCATAGGAACTCCCCCAAGAATCCAAGCTAAGAGGGCCCTCTTTGTGGTATGGACACACAAAGTCCATTTATATGCTAGGGATACCTACTGATTTACTGCCCAAGGTCCCATAGATTGTCCAGGCCTCTGCACTGACATCCACATTCAGGAGGTCTGGATCAGTCCCATGCTGGCCTCCCAGCTGTTGGTGTGGGGTCCAAGTGCCCTTCCCCACCCTTGTTCAGGTCAGCTGTTTCTGCTGGTGTCACCAGCCCTTTCTTTACCCTTTTGCTCATCACTCCTCCCTCTCTGTCACTGAGTTCCAGGGGTTCAGTTCAATGTTTAGCTGTGGTTTTTTGCCTGTACTTCTATCAGTCACTGGATGAAGGTTCTAGGATGGCATACAAGGTAGTCGTCAAACTCATTATCTGGGATGGGCATTTAAAGGTGGTCTCTCCGCTATTGCTTAGTTCGCCAGTTGGTGTCATCCTTGTTGATCACGAGAGATCTCACTGGTGTCAGATCTCTCCTCAAACCTGTAATGATTCGCTCTATTATGATATTTCTCATCCTGTTCTTCCCCCCAACTTAACCTTCTTGCTCCCCCATGACCTCCTTTCTCCCCCTCTTCTCCCCCTCTCTTTTTTTTCCCAGCTCCCACTCCCCTCCCGCCCTGCTCCCAATCTGCTCAACAGATCTTGCTCCATTCCCCATCTCTGGGGTACCATGCATATCTCTCTTAGGTTCTTTGCTGTTTCCCAGACTCTCTGGCAGTGGGATTGTAGACTGACACTCCCCCTGATCCATGTCTAAAATCCATATATGAGAGAGTACATACCATGGTTGTCTTTTTGTGACTAGGTACACTGGAAAAAGGAAAGCATCCTCAACAAATGGTGCTGGCATAACTGGATATTGACATATAGAAGACTGCAGATAGATCCATGTCTATCACCATGCACAAAACTTAAGTCCAAATGGGTCAAAGACCTCAACATAAATCCAGCCACACTGAACCTCTTAGAAGAGAAAGTGGGAGGTTGTCTTGAACGAATTGGTACAGGAGACCGCTTCCTGAACATAACACCAGTGGCACAGACTCAGAGATCAACAATTAACAAATGGGGCCACCTGAAACTAAGAAGCTTCTTTAAGGCAAAGGACACAGTCAACAAGACAAAAAGGCAGCCCACAGAATGGGGAAAGATTTTCATTAACCCCACAGCTTACAGAGGGCTGATCTCCAAAATTTACAAAGAACTCAAGAAGCAAGTCTCCAAAATACCAAAGGATCCAATTAAAAAATGGAGTACAGAACTAAATAGAGAATTCTCAATAGAGGAGTCTAAAATGGCTGAGAGACACTTGAGAAAGTGCTCAACATCCTTAGCCATTAAGGAAATGCAAATCAAAACAACTCTGAGATACCATCTCACTCCTGTCAGAATAGCTAAAATCAAAAACACCAATGACAATTTATGCTGGAGAGGATGTGGAGAGAGGGGAACACTCCTCCACTGTTGGTGGGAGCGCCAACTTGTACAGCCACTTTGGAAATCAGTATGGAGATTTCTCAGGCAAATGGGAATCAATGTACCACAAAACCCAGCAATTCCACTCTTAGGCATATATCTAAAAGATGCACATTCATACAAAAAGGATGTCTGTTCCACTATGTTCATAGCAGCATTATTTGTAATAGCCAGAACCAGGAAGCAACCTAGATGCCCCCCTACTGAAGAGTGGATAGAGAAAATGTGGTATATATACACAATGGAGTACTATTCAGAGGGAAAAAATTGAATCTTGAAATTTGCAGGCAAATGGTCTATCATCATTTTTGTAGAGCCCAGATCCACGTGTGTAGGGAAGTTATTATACCCATTGGGCTTGGCACCTCTACATTACAAGAAATTGCCTCAAAGACATGCTCACAGGCCAAAACTGATGAAAGTAATTTCTTAGGTGAGTTTCCTTTCCCCATGCATGTTCTGTTGACAATGAAATTTAGTCATCATGATTCATTTGGGAGTCACAGTTCTTTTAGCAAGTACATGAAAAGATTTTT